ATAAGCCAATAGCCGGCCTCATCTTTGCCAAAGCCAACCAAACTGATAATCATCACCACTCTCATCACATTGACAAGAGAAAAACCAAACAACTTCAAATCCTTCAAGTCTTTAACCAATAAGACTTGATCTTCAAAGAACAATTGAAAAACAAGTGACCAAACAACCACCTCGTCATTACAAACATCAACCAACAACCTCCTCAACATAGTCAATCCACGGGCAGACCCTTTAGACAATATAAACAATGTTGCCGAAGAAATAACAACAGCTCCAACATCAATAGGCCAAGAGACGACCTCAAACAAAACTTGATTCTCATAGATCAAAGAAGTAACATCGGCATGACCAAAAACCTCCTTCCAAATAGCTGCATATCAAGCACCAAACAAACCAGAATTGTGTCTGTCCACAACCAGAAGAACGAAACAGCCTTCTATATTCAAACCAAACACCATTAGATCAATGACTTCAATAATATCAACAAACTCATACCATAATTCCAAAATATCTTCCTTGGAAGATCCAAAAAAAGCCATCCAAATGGCTGCAAAACTAGGAGTAGCAACATCATCTCCAAGAATCTTCAAGAAACAAGAACCCGGTTCTTCATAATAGAGAGATCCAACTCTACAATCCAAACAATCATACACCAACAAATTCTTGAACAACAAGATATCACACACCAAGAACTCTATCAAACCAGATCTGGAATCAAGAAAAAATCAAAGCAAATCCCGAATGCAAGAATTACTATAGGTAACGTCGAACCAAAATGTAAACTTATTCAAAATCACCTTCAGACTTAAATTTTCACCAAAAATAATCAATAATAACTCCAATATACCACCAGTTGAAACACAACAATCGCAATCGATTTTCAAATCAAGCCTACTGAGTTCCGCCGACAGGCAATCCTCTGCCAAAACGCCTTCGGCCAAAAGTAAATCCAATACAAAATTAACAGAAAATCCAAACCAAGAAAAGTCGTGAGTCACACCAGACCAATTGAGAACCTCTATCAACCAAAGACTCATCAAAACCTCTTTGAGATTTGATGTTCTTCCAAAACCTCCTTAGCCAAATGAAATTTTGACATAGAAGAAGATCCCCACCAAGGAACTCCATCAGCCTTATCAAGCCGACGAAGCATCTTCGATTGCCAAAGATCTGTGAAAATCGCTCGCTCTGCTTCCGATCGCCAAAGATCCGCCCAGATCAGTTGGTTGTTGAAGAGTCCATGGAACTCCGTCGGCCATACCAGGCCGACGGAGCACCTCCGATCGCCAAAGAATGCCCAAAATCATTTTGCTCCGCTTTCTCCTCTCTGCTCCGCTACGCTTCCACTTTGATCACCCCGTAAAAATAATTGATGGTGAAATTAAAATGTGCTAGAAAAAATCAAAAATAAAAGTTTTGTTACAAAAATGGTTTAAACATAAATATTCAAAAAAATTGAGAAAAATAAAAATAGACTCATGAGTCTAAGAAAGTAATGTGATGTAAAGAATTTAATTTTTAATGATTTATATAATAGATTATATATTAATGAGGGAAAAAGATGTATGTATAAAATAATTAAGCAAAATGATAGAAGTTGGATTTAGTTTAAGTGAAGTGTATTATTTATGGATGAAGGTTAAAAAGTGTTCTTATTAAAAGAGGATATTCAATAAAGGTGGAAGTGATATTTTAATAAGTTTTTTAATGACCTTAACACTCAAAATGAGAATATATATTTTTATTTTTATCATCATACTAATAAAATTAAAGTTAGAGAGGCTTTAAAAAAAAGATGTGTGGAAAATCTGTTGGACTCTATGACATTCTAATATAGGTGAGCAAATGCTTAGAAGATGAAGGAATTTTTTAGCTTTCGAAGCTTTTCAATATTATTTTAAAAACTAGAAAGATGGTAGACGAGTGGACAAGGAGTGCCTTGATTCCTATTTTTAAGAATAAATGTGATGCATAAGAGTGTGTGAATTATAGAAGAAATAAGCTAATTTGTCATACTTTAAAACTTTAGGAGAGAGTTATTGAGCATATGTTGCAACATGATACTTATGTTTCTCAAAATCAATTTGGATTCATGTCGGGCATGCCTACTATGAAAGTTATACATTTATTGAAAAGTTTGATGGAGAAATATAGGGAGAATAAGAAGTGTCTACATATGATATTTATTATTTAGAGAAAGCTTATGATAAAGTTCCAGAAGAAATGCTATTGAGAGTTTTATAAAAGAAATGTGTTAATCATGCTTATACTCAAGTCATTAAGGATATGTATATAGAAGCTGTTACTTGTATTCAAACACAAGGAGGTTCGATTAATTAAGTATTTTCCTATTTTAGTTAGATTATATCAAGGATCAGCATTAAGACCATATTTTTTTGTTTTGTCCATGAATGTTCTTACTAGACATTTGAAGGAGAATGTATCATGGTGCATGTATTTTGCTGATGATAGTCTTCTAGTTGATAAGACTAGAGAGGGAGTTAAAGGTAAACTTGAACTATAGAGGTTAATTTTAGAGTTTAAAGATTTTTATTTGAATATATCTAAAACTAAATACATAGAGTGTAAGTATAATAATAATAGATCTAATTGGGGGATTATGATTTTGAGCAATCAAGTCATTAATAAGAGTACACGTTTTAGATATCTCGGATCTATTGTCCAGAGTGATGGTGAAATAGATTAGGATATTATTGGGTAGAATTTAAGTTGGATGGTTGAAGTGGAGGAATGCATTAGGACTATTGTGTGTGAGAAAAGTATCCCTCAAACTTAAAAAAAAATTTCATAAGATGGTGGTGAGACTTGCAATGCTTTATGGCGTAAAATGTTGGCCATTAAAAGTGACATACAATTAAGTGTTGCAGAGATGAGGATGCTTAGGTGGATTAGTAGCTTTACTCTTGGAGACAGAAGGCGAAATGAGTATATATGTGAAAAGGTTGGAGTAGCTATAGTGGCAGATAAGATTACATAGTTTGGTCACATAAAACATCGACCTTCTATTCACTTGGTTAGGAGAGTAAATGCATTATATTTAACCTATATTAAGAGGGGTATGCCTAAAAAGAAAATATTAGAAATGATTAGTCATTAGATTTAAATGAGAATTTTATTTTTAACATGACACAACGAGAAAAAAAGGATTCATCCACGTATTAGGATAAATGTTTGATGTTGTTGTTATTGTTGTTGTTGATTTGAATTATTAATTTAGTGCAAAAAAACCACTTTACTCAATTCAGGCTAGATTCAGTAAGTATTGATCATTAATTTAACAATTAACACACATATATGGATCAATTAAAATCTGTAATGAATTTATTGATTCTGATCGCCATATGAAACTGGAGAGAAACAAACCTTTGTCATACTCTCTTCATTATTCTTTGGCTAATTCTAAACCTGGATTGTTCCATCCAAATATTGTTAATTTTGAGAATGTTTAAAGAGAACAAAAGGATGAAAATACCTGAATTTGAGGCAATATATCTTCAAGCTTCGGTTGACAATGAAGGAATTTCTTGGCTTACTAAACTTTTTAATATTATTTTGAAGACTAAAAGATGCTAGATGAGTGAAGAATGAGTGCGTTGATTCCTATTTTTAAGAATAAAGGTGATGCATAAGATTGTGCAAATTATAGAGGAATTAAGTAGATGTGTCATAACTTAAAATTTTGGAAGAGAGTAATGAAGCATAGGTTATGACGTGATATTAATATTTCTTAAAATAAATTTGAATTCTTGCCGGATAGGTCTACTATAGAAGCTATTCATTTATTGAGAGGGTTAATGGAGAAGTTTAGAGAGATTAAGAAGGATCTACATATGATATTTATTGATTTAGAGAAAACTTATGATAAAAATCCAAGAGAAGTGCTATAGAGAGTTCTAGAAAAGAAAGGAGTTAATAATGCTTATATTGAACTCATTAAGGATATGTATGCAAGAGTTGTTACTTGTGTTCAAACACAAGATAATTTAACCAAGTATTTTCCTATTTCAGTTGGATTACATCAAGGATTAGCCTTAAGCCCTTATCTTTTTTGCTTTAGTCATGGATATTCTTACTATACATTTGTAAGAGGATGTACCATGGTGTATGCTTCTGCTGCTGATATTCTTCTTGTTGATAAAACTAGAGAGGAAATTATAGAGATTAACTTTAAAGTCTAAAAGTTTTCGTTTGAGTAGATTTAATATCAAATACGTACTGTAATTTTAGTAGTAATATAACTAGTGGAGGGTTTGTGACTTTGAGCGATAAAGTCATTAATAAGTGTACTTATTTTAGATATCTTGAGTCTATTGTTCAGAGTGATGGTGAAATTGATAAGGATTTTATTAGTAGAATTCAAGTTGGATGGTTGAAGTGTAGGAATGCTTCGGATTTGTTGTGTTATAGCAACGTACCACTCAAACTTAAGGAAAAATTTTATAATATGATGGTGAGATCTGCAATGCTTTATAGTGCAAAATGTTGGCCATCAAAAAAGAAGCTTAATATTAAGTTTAATTGGGGTTAAGATGAGGATGCTCAGATGGATGAGTGGATTTACTTTTAGAGATAAGATATGAAACAAGCATATATGTGAATGGTTGGAGTAACTCCAATGACAAATAAGATTAGAGAGAGTCACCTTAGATGATTTGGTCATTTAAAACGGTAGCCTTCCAATGGAACTTTTATTACATCCAGTGAACGTACGCTCCTCTATGTTCGGTTTAGGCAAAAATGCGCCTGTACCGAGTTTTTTAAAAAAACTCGGTACAACTCGGTACTCGGTACAGGCGCTTTTTTTGCCTAAACCGAACGTAGAGAAGCGTACGTTCACTGGATAAAATAAAAGTTCCTTCCAATGACCTTGTTAGGAGAGTAGATATATTACATTTGGCCTATGTTAAGAAAGGTAGATGTAGAAATAACATTTCTTTATTAGATTTAAATGAGATTTTGACTCTTAACATGACACAATGGAGAAAAAAAATTCACGTAACCGACCCCATATAGTTGTTGTTCTTCTTCCCTTGAAGATAAATTACATGCCATTTAAAACGGAGCTTACATGTTTCTATCAGTAATTTCATGAAACAGGTTGTCATCTGCGGCGAGGGCAAATGATGATGTCCCCGTAAGTAATTATTAGTCATAAAACAGTGAGCATAAATCATTAATGTCAACACAACAAATGCCCATTTAAAAAGAGTTTTTTCCTCATGTGATGCCCAAGCTTGTCTATCAGGGAAAAACTTCACAGGAATTTCATCAAACAGGTTGCGGTCATCAGCGGCAAGGGAAATGATGGTCGTTGCCACTATCATGGTCATCATCGAGGACAAGGTTAACCCCGTGGGAGCGAATGGCGTTGAGGATAGCCCATACCTTAGCGCGGTTCTTGAAGCCCTTCTTCTCGACTTCCTTGGTGGCATTAGCGTGGATGGGCTCGCTCGCCAAGCCGTCTACCTTGAGGCGCATGGCGAGGACTTCGCCGACGGCGGCAGCTGCCTTGGAGTTGCAGGTGCGGCCGCAATCGAGCCCTTCCTTGAGCGCCTTCTCCACCGAGGAAGCCGTCACAATAACCCTACCGTTACGGCGATCCACAACGTTCGCTGTCACGTACTTGAGCGAGATGAACAGCCGCAGGACGAATCTCTTCGCCACAGGTGCGTGAGACCAAGGCGGAGCAATCCGGCTCATTTCTGTTTAAGAATATTCTGCCATTCGATTGTCCAACTCTCCATTTGCAAGAAGCTTTAAGGGTTTTTTTTAATCATTTTTATTTATATATTAATCATCTAAAAATTCCTATTAATGAGTAACATTTAATTCTTTTAAGCAGATATATTTTTTGGGGTGGAACTATAGTGGGGGCCTTGGGTAGCTCAAGGCATATGAATAAAAGCTCACCCAAAGCCCCATTGTGAGGATTCAAACCGCGCTCCTCTGGGAGGATATCCAACGCCTTATCCGCTCGCCCTCTAAGCAAGATTTTTGTTATGGTTACTATTTTTTATTTAAATTATAATGCATATAATATAAAAATTAATAGTTTCACTATGAACTATTAATAAAAAGGATAAAAGATTTATCCAAAAAAAATTAATATAATTTTAAAAATTATTGATTTGTACCCCTACTAATATTTTTTTTTGTTCCGTCCCTGCTCAAAGACACATCACAAACAAAAGCTTCGAACCCAAAATATCTTATTAGATAGTCAAAACCTCCAACTAATAGACAAAGATGAGTTGTGCACTTTATACAAATTAATATCAAAAATAATATTCACTTCTCGTACCGCTAACTTTCGGAGCAGGGGATGGTCATAGTGAAAAGGCGAGGAGGCATGAAACGAAGCATGATAGGGGTCGATAAAAACAATGAGCAAAGTGTAGACGTGAAATTGAATGGTTGGAGTTGGAGTGAGCCTGTGCGCGAAAGGCGACTGATTGTTGAGTGGGTGCTTGCACCCCCAAGGATTACCAGAGGTGGAGCAAGGCAGTAGGATCACTACCATGGGATAGGAACATGAGATGGGAACTTCATAAGCTTATTCCAATATATTGGAATGAGAAGTAAATGGATTGGTAGTTGATTAAATAGGAACTTTTTATTTGAATATGTAAATAAAAATGAAGTGTTATGTATGTGAACCCAAAACAATGTGCTACAATATAATTATTAAATTTATAATAATAAATATGATAATAATAGAATATAAAGCTAGAAAATTAAGTCATTGTAGGTATGCCACTAGCTTCTTATTCTTCAAGGATGATATAATCATGTGATTACACTTTAGCTCAATAATATTATGATTATCAATCAATAAAAATTAAGAGATAAATGTAATACAACTCAATAAAATTTATCCAATTGAGGGCTCAAAGGAATTTTCGGGATGCAAATTAAATAGTTGATAAGAATTATTTGAGATCTTAAGCTAACTGATGACTTTTACTCTTAGATTGAGGCTTCTAATGGGCACATGCACTAATAGCTAAAAATATTCCTTAGTTGAGGTTATTACACTCTAAAATAAATTTTATGTTATAGATGGCTTCCTATTTTAAGGTTATATTAATTTCTCTTAAATTTGGTAATTAACTTTGCTCCTATGTAAAACAGATGGAGTTATGTGGTAGTGGTGAATTCAATCAAAATATCATATTTCCATTATTTGTAATCTATCATAGTAGAAGGCATGTTGTTTTGAAATAATTAATCTGAGGTTCAATGGTATTGCCAAGCTGAGGTATGATTTTCATCATTTGATTAAGCATGGTCATTATGAGCAAGTAGGCTATATATCATAATGAGTAATTATGTCAGGCCTTAGAATGAAATTTGATAAAAAATTATATATTTTAATATTTTTAAATCATATATATGCTCAGTTTAGTCAATAGAATTCATATCTCATCAATGATCAGTTATCATTCATAAGGCTCAAAAAAATCAATAACAAATATAATAAATCATTTCAATGAATCAATAGTCAATATGAAAATCAATAAATCCATAAAGCAATCATGCTTATAACATTTATAAATCAATAAAGGAATCATAACATACAAGTGTCAATATCATCAACCTTATCTATTGTATCTATTATTAATTATATGCATCATATGTTGTCATTATATGTATTTGTACTCATTACGATCTATCTATCAATATTATATATGCACATTATAGTTCTATTTATCAATATTATCAATGCATACATGATTTATTGTATAATTCAGCATGGTTGGGACATCTAGTTTTAATGTGATATTTTTATAATCTTTTAACCTCAATTGCTTCCTAGTTGATCATCAGTCATCGTTATCATAAATTATTATTTATCAATAAATCAATTATTATTATAGGTGTCTTTCATTAAATCAATAATGAGTCATTAGACTTTGCATGCCAGCTTAATCAGTGGAGCATGTCCTTCATGGCACCACCCTAGCTCTCTTTTTCTTAAGAATAGATGTGAGTTATCATGCTTTCTATACTTAGGATTAAATCTACTAGTGGTGGAGAATGCCTCTTGGCACTGCCCTAGTATTAATTCAATTTTAGCTCTATATGGTTAGGATGAGTCCCAACCTCAGACTTCCTTTTCATACGATCATCTGCTAGTAGTAGAGCACGCCCTTCATGGCACCACTCTAATTTTCTTCTCCTTAATGACAAGTGTGAGTTGTCATGCTTTCTTTCCTAACGATTAGATCCACTAGTAGTGGGGTACGCCATTTGTGGCACCACCCTAGTATTAATTCAATCTTGGTTTTCTGATTACGTGTTCCCTTTCCTTAGAATCAAAATCTCAAATTTGACCATTTTATTTGGTCAACACCAATATGTGCAGTAGAAATTTGTTTTACTACACATATTAGTGGTCAATTGTTGACCTCATTTTTGTACAAGATCATTAGGAACCATCTAGACTTATGTGAATTGATCTAATGGTTGACTATGAGCTAGTTGTCAATCATCCAAAACTCAATCCAAACTTCAACTCAATCTTCTATTCAAACCTCAATTTAATCTTTAATCAAACTTTAACTCAATATTTAATTTAATCCTCAATCTAATCTTCAATAAAACATCAATTTAATCTTCAATAAAACATCAATTCAATTTATAATCCAGTCTTCAATCAAACCTTAATAAGACTTCAATCAATTTCAATCACCTAGTCTATGTCAACCTATCATCACTTGAAGCAGCAACCTTACATTGTAGCCAGGTGTTTCAATACATTGCCTAGTTCAGTGCCCTAGCACCTAGTGATCACCACTTGACTTTATGTATCCAATCATCAATAATCACCTAATTTGTTTTTATTGATGTGGATGAATCAAATTCAATCAATTAAACTCATAAATGTATTCAAATTCAGAGTTTTAGACCAAAATTCAAAGTTAAAGGCATGTGTCTTATAACTCTTTTTGGGTGATTTTTCAATCACATCAAAAGTTAGTCAAATGACCATTGATTCATGATCTATCAATTGTATATTTATTAGGCATATCTCTAAGGCCATCCTTCTCAATTTGAGCCTAATATGAGGCCTATAACCTCAAAAATTCAATTAAAATATAAAGACTATAAAATATTCAAATATTTATAACATATGCCACTAGACCTTCCATCTTATGAAATTTGACCTTGGGGCCTTTCTCACAACATTTGACCATGAACATAACCCTTGTTATGACATGTCAAATATTAAACTGCACTTTGGTGGACCCAAATTGACCCATAGTTGACTAGGGTTCCAAATGACCAAAATGCCCTTTAAGGGAAAATTTTAAATTTTCTCCAAACCTCAATATTACCTAGTCAAATAAAATATTGAAACCTCCTCTAATGCATCCTAAACCTCATTAGGAATGCATTGAACTCAAACCACCCAAACTTTGGTTTGACATGGTTTAACAAGTCAGTCATGATTGACTAAAGTGCCCTTTAACCATTCAAACATGCATTTCAATCCAAATAGTCTTCCCATTACTTGAGACCACTCTTATTAATTTCACACCATTAATCCAAACTCAATGGAACCAATCATTAATCCTAGGTCAACCTGGTTGAGTTGCCTAGTTGACCAACTCAACCAAGTTTGACCAAACACACATATACTTGAATCTAACTCAAACCCATTGACCAAGGCATTCCCAAGAAAACTCAAACCCTTAGGGTGACCCATTAGATCTCTATGAGAGTCCCTTTGAATGCCTAAGCCTTGGGCCCACTTGGACTAACCATATGGCTTGACCCAAGTGTCCAAAGAGAGCTCTTCATGAGCCAAATCTCACCCTAAGCCAAATCAAATCAAACCAAAGCATGTGTTGGGTTCCTCATGAACAAAAACATCAGCCTAGTTGGCCCAGCCCTTAAGTCAACTTAGGCTAGAAATTGGGCTACCTAAAGTGGTCAAAACTGCCTTGACTTGAGCCAATTCCCAACAAAGCTCCATCAAGCCAAGCCAATGCTTTCATTGGGTGGCCCTAAGTTTAATGCACCTTTCCTAGTCAGCCCAACCCTTAGATTAACTTGGGTCAAGACCTAAGCTAGCTCAAAGTGGTCAAAACCACTTTGACTTGAGCTAACTCCCACCACAGATCAAACTAGGCCCAATTCTCTATCACATTGGATAACACTTAACCCAACAAACTTTCCCTGATTAGCCTAGCACTTGGATTGACCTGGGTTGCACCTTAACTAACCGAAACCATTTAGGTTTGAGTCAACATGAGCCACATTGGTGAATTGGGTTGTTTTATGCCCAATTGACTTCACATATGAGCTTACTAGACCTCTATATAATTTTTTACCAAAGCTTGACCCAAGCAGTGGCCACCAGCGGTCAGAGTGAATGGAATTAAGCACTACTAGTTCCCCATTCTTGAGCCCTATCCAAGTCCTATTCAATGCCTAAGCTCATCAGTTTTAGGCTTACGAGGCTTAGAGCAGCTGCCCCCTATATGTTATAAATCTTGACTCAAGTACTATAATTTTGGTGATAATAAATATTATTATTTCCTTACTGCTATCTCCTTTTAATTGGTTCATTGAGTATATGTTTTTTTACTTGCCCACTAAAATTTTAGGTCTACCGTTCACTTGTAACTTCAATCAGCTCAAGATTGGGTAAACTAGGGTTGAGTATGTTTATAATTTCAACTTCAATGTACTTTTACCTTTATTAAGTCAAGTCATGTATATGGTGGATATTAAGCTGAGTAACATTGCACACATACACTTAAGGGAGT